GTGTGTTTGTGTGTGCATGTGAGGGTGTGTGTGTGTGTGCAGGACAGTAGCACAATGCTGACAGTGCGGTAGAGGGGCAGTGTGCAGGTCTTAATTGACAGACCCTATCTAAACTCATCAACACTCTAAGCGAGCGCAAGATACAAGAAGAGAGCTACACACTCCTGATGCTGTCTCATCTAACAAGTGGCACAAGAATACCAAACTCTGAATAAAAAATGTTGTGTGTGAGTGTGTGTTTTCTTACCTTGCGGGGTTGAAAATCATATTTCACACAGTGCTGAAAGCCTTTTCCTTTTGACTTTAACGATGTCACGATGAGACAGTTTCCAACAAAGTGAGCAGAGTAACCTATTCCTTTACTGGTGCGAAAACTGCAAGAGAATCAGAAAGAGTGACACTCATTTCAGTTTATTATCAATTTCAGATCTGTTTTTATATACAACTATTTCAATTAAAAGAATAGCTCTAAATTAAAACTAATGATTGTACTTCTTGATGAATGGTGCAACATTTGAATTGTGTGACTTAAATACATGTTCACCATTTCATTAGATTTTAGTGAAACTGAATGACTTGACATTTTTGAAGTGATATTACATTTGTCAAATAAATTACATTTCAACCATGTTGTCTGGTTTGATTTGACAGACTGGCTTTATTGCAAATACCACAATGTTTTTGTTTCTGCAAGCTACCACTACAACTGCAAAAGGTCAACTACAACAACGGAAATTCAACCAATTTTTTTACAGATAAAATTGTACAAAAAGAAATCCTGCCAACTAAAATACAAGCAGAGCAACTTTCACACTCACATATAGCATTATTTAAGCCAGTACCATTAGGATTTTCCGGAGTATTTTCTTGCAGCAGCACCAGGAGTCCCAGATCACAGGTTTGTAGAAAAACACTACTAATCCCCTTCCCTCCATTTTTCCACCATAATGTTTGTCTCCCTGCATTTGTAACCTTCACGTTAAAAAAAAAAACCCAGTCTTGCAGCTAAGCTTCTTCACAAAACAACAAGACAGATTTCAATTCTAAAACAGGCCCAGAAGGATCACACACATAGCAGAGCCAAAAAGCAGATATAAATCCCTCTCAAGTGAATCCCTGGTACACATTAGGAGTGGAAACAGTGTGTTATCGCGGCCTTCCTGCAGCTGTGAAGGCCTCTATCAGACAGGCGGCTAGAGTAGCAGCTGCATCTGGGGGAGGACGATAAGAGCTGGGCCAGAGGAGAGGAAGGAACCCTCCCTCTCTCGCTCCTTACAACCATGACAACCTGACAAACGGTTACTAAGGAAACAGGATTACATCCTGACACTTATCTCTCGCGATGGTATCCGGAGAATACGGATGCATGTCATCCTTCCTGTAGAGGACTGGCTCCTTAAGCAAAACCTTTCTGTTCATAATGAATCAGAGTTTGGCTCGGTGAGGGGAGGGGGTGAAGAACGCTGCTGGTTAGCGTCACAGAGCGAAGAGGTGGGAAGAAGCCGAGCAGCGAAGAAGCCGAGCAGCGAAGTGAAGGAGTTCAATTAAATAAAAGGTCAAAGATAATGAAGCTTCATAGTTGCTAACGGCTTGCACTTACAACGTTAGCGTCAAGGCCAGCGAGGTCCAGAGCTGCATGACGAGCAGAAGTCCAACCAGCAGCACACTCGAGTGCCTTGACATTTAAAGTTATGTTCTAATTCATTATCTGTTTATCTATTAACTTCCTGTCCATGTCATTCAGTCTGATGAGTTAGATGTTTATTATCTGGCAAGCCTCAGTAAAGGAACTCTTGGTATAGTCTGAATAAAAACTAGAAGAGTGCACTCAGGAGAGAGAGTAGACATTAGATAAACTAAACTATTAATTGTTCAACAAGAATAAATAATTCACAGATAAAACAATACAATGTTTTGTCTTATGACCTTCATGGCTCCACCATCTGGGATCTCTGAGATACCTAGGCCTGCAGTCTATGTGTGTTCTCATACTGTGATTAAGCACAGCTCCCTCAACCTGCTTCATTCCCGGTCACTTCAGTTAGTTTCTTCCTACTTTAACCAGAATGCCTTTTGACACCCAGAAGGAACAGGCTTGAACCTGCATTATTCAGCTGTGTGCATTTCGTCGCTCGGATCAATACTAAAAGCAGAAGCAATAGAGGTTTGTTTGTACAGTCGACAAGAAGTAAATCTCACTTCTTCGGGAAAAAAGTCCCATATCTTAAAGATGTGCTGCATTACAGTAAGGCCAACTGTCAGTGGAGAGGCTGGTATTTCTGCATCTTTTGCAATATTTTTCCCTCTGCTTCTCTCTTTCTTTTTCTCTTTGCAATCTCTGCATGACTGCTGAAAATGGAGAATCTACAAAGAAACCCTTCCTCTGTGATCCTGAAGGACTGACATAAAAACCCTATGTTTACTACTGATGTTTTTTCAACTCCTTTTCTTCTATGAAGCTCCTCTCTAACTACGCTGGCAAAAATATCGATGTGATGTCACTGAGTCAACAAAACGGGCCAAGAAATTAAAGATTTATGTCCGAAAGAAATATTCTGATGGTGCTGAAGTGTTGAAGAGTGAGTGTTTCATTTAACTTCAAAAAAGGTTCTTTCATGTTTTATGATGTTGTAAAAGATGTTTTCAGTCCCAGTATTTATTTTTACTGTATTATGTAATATGAAAGGTATTCTACTCACCAATAGAGGTACGGTTTGTCTTTATCCACGTTGATGTTGTTGAGTGGATCCTGTCTGAACCAAGTGTTGATAGTGAATCCGTTCTGGTAAGGCCATTTGGCAATTGGCGGCAATGCTATGGCCTGGGGGAAGGCAGACACATCAGATCAGCTCTTGCAATGTTTATAACAATCAATATCAGTCATTACTTTCTTTTCATCATTCAGCTCCTCACACTGGTGGAGCAAAGTGCCAATTAGGATGTGCTGACTGCAACAAAGAATGCAGGCTGATGAACGAAAGACTCTTCAGCGATTTGGGTGCACATAGAGTAAATTTGACAATTATTTTAAGAATGGTGCTAAAGTGTGTGTGTGTGTGTTTTCATAATGGTCAGTCTCACCGCTGCACTGCGTCCTGGAAAGTTGAAGAAGGTATCAGGACCATGTCTCTGAGGCATCTGGTTCAACACCGACAAGAGCTTGATAGCATGTCTTGGCTGAGAGGAGAGGAGAGGAGAGGAGAGGAGAGGAGAGGAGAGGAGAGAGAAAGAATGAGAGAAGAAAGTGATTCGATCATTATTATGTGACAGATGCCAACTATCAGAGGCAGAGCAGAGAGACTATCAAAAAAAAACATGGTGTGACATCACATCTCTACCACAAACCCACTGGATCAATAACTCTTCAATCACCTCCGCCCTCCCCCGACAACACCTCATCAATACCATAGCAACCCCTAATCGATCGGTCTCTTGAGAGGGCTGCTGGGGGAGGAGAAATTGGAAACGACAGGGAAATAGTGGTGAGGTGGATGAGGTGGTGATAGTTATTGGACAGAGGAGGAATGGAGAGAGGGCTGAAGGGATGGATGATGGCCTTGCTGTGGATCACTGATCAGTGACCAGGGGTTGTTGATGGCAGTTGTCCTGGAGCTTGAGTAGAGAGGAGATTGACGAGAAGGGACTAGGGTATATTGACTTAGCTAGTGGCTGCCAGCAGCTGCCAAGGCCTCACACCCAGCCAGTGAGCTAGGATGGCAGAGGAGAAGGTTTAGCCTCCCAAAACCACCCTAAATGTCGGTTTTAAAACATCCACTCTGAGTGAACTAAACCCCAGGAAGCTGAGCCAATCAGCAACTACAGGGAGCAGTTAAGAGGATGACAACAAGGAGCACTTTAAGTGGAATTTGTACCAATCTCATTAACAGGTACTTAAAGTAAACTCGGCATTGCAGCTCTAAAGGTAAGCATGAATCAGCAACTGAATGGTGTATTTCTTCCCTCATTTTCTTTCAGAGGCCAATTTAATTGGATAATTTAGGAAGAATTCTACAATAAAGAGTGTAACATTATGTATTTTTAGTTTAAAAACCTGACGCAATCAGGTGTAAGAGTGATTCATGTTGATGTTTAAGTGATGTTTAAGGCATTATTAATGAAACAATTTTCCAATCAGCTGCCTACACCTACTGACAACAACCACAACCAAAGAAAATGCATATCGGGCAGCACACAATAAGAACAGTTTCTGGGCTGGCTGCGCTAAAGGTGGAGAAAGTTAGAGATAAGTCAGAGAAGGGAAGAATAAATGAGTGCTTGAGCAAGGCATTTACTGCAGTGCAGCTGCTTGGTGGTTAGTAATAGAAGATATAGATTGTATGTATATAGAGTATGAGTATATGGAAGTGTGTTGCGGAAAGGGATTCACTTAATTTATAACCTATTCCATGAGTGTTTCACCTTCACAGCTGATCAAGCTGTTGCTGTTTTGCTTTTTTTTCATCGTGGTTCTATTAGTCTAACAAAAATAACATAGTCAAACCACTGTAGCATTAATAACGTTGATTACTAGAGAAAAAATAGATTAAACGTAAGCTAAATTGCCCTTGTCTTGACATACACTCACAAATCCATCCAAACACACATACACACACATAGATACACACCCATCCTCTATTATTCTGGTCTATTAGCACAACCATGCCAAGTGGCATTGAGACTAATGACACACAAACAACTCATGCTGTATAATTAATCTAGAACAAAATAAATTTAGCTTCCACGAATATTAATCATAGAATACTGGCATATCTGTAAAAGTGAAATATCACATTTTTGCAGCAAATACTCAATGTGAAGTCTCCTTTGATTTTAAACACAAGAAAAACACAAACATTTCACTGAAAAAATATACACACATACAATGACACAATCATAAGCAATGTAGGCATTTTCCAGAAAGAATCAGCAAACTGTTGCTTTTAATTCAAATATAAAATATGCCGTTGTGTCATTAAAAACAAATCAGAATAGCCACTAAATCCAATCATGAAAAGCAGCTCTTTATCAATATCCAGCTAGCTACGTCAGTCAATATGAAATAAAATAATAATTTGTGACATAAAACAATATACAATAATGATAACACTGTTGTTTTTTTCCAATTTTTTGTAGTGTTAATGTTTGTTGTCCAACACCAATAGAAGTACAGGTGTCTTTTAAGCAAAATATTACTGTTGTCATAACACAACCTAAACCTCCATTCATTCAGTTCTTTCTTACCCAGATGCCATTGTCTCCCCTCAGCATACTGAAGAGCAGCTTCAGCTCTTTGACTGTGATGCTGTAACTCGCCATGACTCCCAACATGTCCACCAGGAGGTCTGAGAAAACACACACAGAAGAAGAAAGTGAGCGTAAGAGAGCAAGTGTGTGTTTGTTTGTTTGTGTGTGTGTGTGTGTGTGTGTGTGTGTGAGAGAGAGTCAGCATTTGAAAGGTCCTCTACTGACACTTCTCAGATATGGTGAGGTCATCAGAAAGAAATTTGAGTGTGTTGCATCGCAGTCCTGTGAGCTCCTCCACTGTACACAAAATACACACAACCTAGAATCTTAAGCAGAGTTGCTGTATACAGCATTACTTAATACAGTGACTGTGTACACCACAATGTAATTTATTGTCACGTTATTATCAGGTAATATGAGGCCAAACACACTGAGTGTGTCAAGTACGCTCAGCTACTAGCTAAACAAACAAAGAGCCGTGTAATGCTTTGCCTAATATCGACACCAGTGACATGCTCAGCGTGTATTGTGTACATGAGGTTTGTTAATGAATGCTGATTTATTACCATACACTTAATCAATAAACTCCCAGATAAAAAAAAACCTTGTAAAAACCAATGTAGTGTATTTCCCAAAATTTCCAGCCATTCCATTAATTTATACACATTTTAACAGGCAATAACAACCTGTCAACAACCTCACTAAGGCTCCAAAAGAACTTGTTTAATGACTACATGTCATAAAGTTGACAAAAACAAGGCTTAAAAAATATTTCCCTCTGAATATGTAAGCAGGTAAACATTATGTAAAAAGACGTTTGTTTAGTCCAAATGAACTTTCTGCCTGACTGTCTTTCTCTTCACACAGGCACAACAGATCAGTGTGGATATGACAGAGGCACAGCACAGCCCTCTCAGAGTGAGGCAATCTGCTTACAAAGGCTCTTCTTTCCCATTAGGCCTGCTAGATATGAATAGTCTTCCGACAATATTTCATTAGCCAGAGCCCAGCGATAGGGAATAAAGCAGAAGGCTAGCTCACTGAGGTGCTTGGTATGAGAGGAAAACTCAATACACAATGTCCTAGATTCAAAACCCCTAAGCTCTGTTTTTCGGTACAATCAATCCATGTAGGTCATTTTAAATAGTTTTTAAAAAGTGTTAGAATTATGGTTCGGAAAGGGAGTCTGTGAGAATTGGCATTAACGTGATTTAAGCATGCGTGTGCCATGCCGTGGTGAGCGGTAATAAGTCAGAGAAGTTACAAAAGCACATTATCCTGCGGCGGTAGGTAGGACAGAGAGGACACTGGGGGGAGGGAAGGACAGGACACGCACTCCGAGGCATCATTAAAGGGAAGTCAAGGTCAATATGATCATGTAAAGAGACGGCTGTGTAAGTGTTGTTTTGAAATGAAACCCTCCATACAAATCGCAGCACACAGAAACATACTGAGGTCATTGATCTGCTTTAGATGGATTGTTAGGAATGTGTGACTGCAGGGCAAACATACATGCACACATGAAGTAGTTCTGTTCTGAAAAAAAATTCAGGGAAGGAAATCTTCAACTACTGGATCTGAACTTAAAAACACAACGTTGAAGTCAAAGAATAAATGGTCCAAAGTAAAGAATATATTGTCAGCTCCAAATAGAGTTTAATGTCAGAAATGTCTCATCTAAAATATCAATCACAAACTCAACACTCTTCTATACACTGTAGAAAAACAGAAGCGAATCAATACACAAGAATACAGTCTCAAGACATGCCATGTGGCTTTCACTCTTTCCAATCCATGGTACTGCAATTGTTTTCCACCTACACATACAACCCACTGTTAAATGCAGGAGCTCTTTGTGTGGTTTTGAAAGGCACTTGTGATAAAATCACTACCTAAGCCAAGCACATTGTGGATAAGTGGAAAAAGCTAAATTAAATAGCGCAATGCCACACAACCTTCGCGACACCTTTATACTCACTTAACACCACGGAAATAAGATACTTGAAAAGGAAGTTCCAGTCTAAAATAAACTCCTCTTCTAAAATAAACTAATATTCAGGAGGAATTTCAATCAGGCTTGAAAATATACCACAGTGCTGAACCTGCTTTTATTAAAATAATCAGAAATGTTTGATGAAAATAACGTCTGAATTCTTGTCCTGTGCAGCGTTTAATACAATTAACCATGATATCTTATCAATCGTCTTGTAAAGTTGGTTCAAAACATACATCAAAAGGAGAAAGGTCTGAGGAATACTGTTTACCAATCTGGGGAAATTGACCCCCTGGATTAAATCTGAGGTCTCGGTGTTGTCCTGGACTCAGATCTAAGCTTCAAGTCCCACATTAACAAGGTGATGAAAACATAACTACCTCTGACTTTTCAATCTTATGCTGTCCATTCTATGTTTTTCTATTTCCAGCTGAAAATGTTTTATTATACTTATTATTATTATTACTATTATTATGAATATTAAGGATTCAATAAGACAGTGTGAGGATATGTCACAGTGCTTACGTGAGTATAAAAGTGAGTCTTTATATTTTAACAACATATCACAATACTGTACAAAAGAATATAAGACCAATTAAAATTTTACTAAAGTAAAAGTAAAAGATTTTACTAAATTTTACGTTAAGATCAACAAAGCTCTCTCTCAACATGTGTGTGTTTCTCTTGCGGCTTCAGGGGAATGGTGTTGTGATGATTTAATCATATTGTGTTATCCTTTTGCCGGTTGTCCAAATGTCCAAGTAAAAGCCCTTGTTGAACTTTTTGTTTTACTTTGAAAAGTTTAAATGTAATACTTTTACACGTGGTTGTGTACACATTTGCTATATCCCAATTCACAGTATATGGATACTGGACAAATATTGTGATAGTGATTTCAACATATTCTTTTTTGTCATTGTGCCTTATTACATGCTCATTAGTGCAGACTCACCTGCGATCATGTCGTCCACAGTGCTCATCTTGAGCAGCACCTGCTGGATGAGGCCGACCTCGGTGCTGGTCTGCAGGTTGCGCACGCTCTTGCGGAGGATGGCGGTGAACATGCTCCAAATCTCGGCCTGGCACGTCACTTCGCAGTGGGACAGCAAGTCCACCATGCAGCCGATGCTCTCCGCCTCCTGGATGATGAAGTTCATCTCCAGGTCAAACTCGCCGCCCACCAGCTGGAGGAGGGTGAGGGAGAGAGAGAGGGAGGTGGAGGAAGGCAGGAAGGGGAAGGGGAGGAGGGGCAAGGTTTGGGAAACAGGAAAGGGCAGGGAACCGACGTTAAGGAAGGCAGTTAGTGGAAGTGTTAGGAAGGGGGAAAGGAAAAGCGGGGGGTGATGAAGAAAGTGGGAGGAGAGAGAGAACAAAAAGAGAGAATGATTTAGTGAGGCATTTAACCTTTTGTCTGTAGGAGAGCTAAGCCTGGCGTCTGATGGATGCTGATTGTGGTTAGGAAAGCATTTCTTCTGCCGGAGGCCGCACATACTGCAACAAATAAATGTCCTTCATCTGTGTACACACACACACACACAATGCCATCTCCTCCTCTGCTTTCTCTCTAATGTGAGGAGCGCAGCACTCTCCTCTGTGAACTACAATCACTCTCAAAATACAGCAGGCACAAAAATGGCCCCCTCTACTGCTTCAGACATACACATAACCATGCAAGCACACACACAGACGCACACACAGACACCGATTAATATACATTTCAGTCCCTGTCCTCTCACATAGCATTAGTCAGAGGACACCATACTTTTAAAATCGAGTGCAAATGATCTGTCTCATAATGGCTGGTGCACTATAATCACTTGTGATAGTACAGTCTTCATATCACTGTGACTAACTCACACATGCGCACACACACACACACACACACACACACTTATGCACCTCATGAACACAAGCATACCCCACGCAGTTCAGCCTCAGCATACTACACTATCCAGGAAATGGTAGCCATGGCAACCAACAAGCTAAGATAGCTCAATTGAGGTTATTAAATCAGATGGAAAAAAAACATGTAATAAGTTATAAGAAGGCATCAGAGGAAAGATTACGAGCAGAAAAGAAAACACTATAGGATCAACGTGACTGTGACTGTGGTCTTTGCACAGGCTGAGGGAATAAAAAACAATGCATAACTCAAGCACAGGAGTAGTCCACTGCTATCTGAGGCATTTCAGTAGTGAAAAAAGTCAGTGGTTAAACAACCTTTAAACAAAAATAACATTTTAAGTATGGCTGTGAATTAATTCAGTATTATTGTCTCTACACATTTGTATCATAATGACATGATAATGCCATGTTATTATTTTACAAAAAAACACAAAATAACAAAATTGGTTATAAGAAGTTTTTGTTTTTTACGTATTCTGTATTTTTTTTGTTTTTTTGCATAATAGTGTAACACATTGCTGGTTTGAACAACAATAACTGAGCACTGATTTGCTACATTGTGATATATACACAATCATATCTATAATAATTTATAGTGAGAATATGAAACTTCCGAAAAAGGAAATAACACTGTCTCCATCTTACAAATGAAAAGTTGAATCTATAAGCAATTTATAATTTCTTGGTCTGACCAGTAGCTTATGATGGCCAGTGTAAGCTAATGAAGCAAACTTTAGCCGAACATATTCATAATTTAGTTTACTGACTTTATGAGTCTTCTCCACTTGTGCTACTGTTACAGGTGACAGGTTACGAGTGTCACCTAAGGCGTCTGTTCAGCAAAAGTTAATTAAGTGTGTTTCCATCCACCTATTTTTATGCGCATTGTTTATTTCCCTGGAGCGATTTTTCAGTAATGTTACACAAATTAAAGGACTAGTGTGGACCTTCAATAGGTATAGTGTGTAACATGCAGGTAGTTTTCTACATGGTTTTCTACTGATTGAAGCTTTTAATAATGTCATCTTGTTGGATTTTATGAAATTTGGTTCAAATTTGTTTTAAATTTGGATGGAAACCTGACTATGGTCTTGCTTTAAAGAAACTAATTGAAATGAAACCGATCCCAACCCTGACGCATGCTGGGGCACCTTGCATGAAAAAAAAGAAGAACGAGGACAAAGGATGGTCTCTTCAATGTGGTCATGTATAATATTGACATAAAATGGAACATTAGCTGCAGAAATCATTAGCAACACAAGCATTCATTACATGTTGGCCCATCGACAGGTCTCAGTGAGCCATTTAAGATTAAGGTTTATACCTTGTAAGCTGTGGCTCCCTTCTTGCCAATAACTATTGTCACCTTGTAATTGATCAGGTTTTGGATCAGGGCGCTGTAATTAAAGCAACTCCGGTTCAAGTGTACAATCTCCATGTTCTTTCACCTGCTTCTCCTCCCTTCCCCTGTATTCGGACAGACTAACTGCCTCTCATTTCTCTCTCCCCTCTCTCTCGGTGATGGGAATTGATCCAGTGCACTCTACAAGGCATGGAATAAAAAGAGGAAGAATTAATTCATCCCACATTGAATTTTCCCCTCTCCTCTGAGAATCCCAATTATACAACTCGCAAGGGACCACTGCGTCTTACAACATCTATATAACCTGCCAGTCGGAAGATGCTCGATATACTACACAATGGAAGCTTAAGGGGAAACAGCGCAAAAAGTCTTTGTAGAAACTCGCTCGCAGATACACAGCAACTTGAGCACGGAAACACACGCGGCCCCAGGGCATACCTACACATGTACAGCACGAGCCTAATCTCTCTATGCTCACACTTCCCACCCGCGTGCAGAACATCACAGCAAGATGAGAAGGGTGATGCAAACGACAGCAACAAATTGGGTCTCGTGACCAACAATACAGAGAAAAAGGAGGCCGAGCACAGGCGACACATGGGGGGAGAAACAAAGAAGTGCCCAGATAATTATTATCTATCCTCAACCAGAAGCAACATCTGGAAAAGGCGACTAAAACATGGGTGACACTGCCAAGAGCACCCTGGACCAAGAACATCAGGAGACATGAAGCTAGACAGAGAGAGATGGAAAAAAGAAAGCGTGTGGGAGAAAATATTCTTCAATATGAAAACGCTTGCATCAAATATATGTTCTCTATTTCATGTGGCTCCCATAAAAATGATAGATGCTTGAGCATTTATGCACCCATTATTTGCTTGAGTAGGGATTTTAATTGATGTATAAATAAACATGCTGACTAGATGGCAATAAGGTTGATCACTAGCAGCTTGAACACACTTGAATGCACTCAAGCACCATCGCCACCGTGCACACAGACAAAAGATGACTAATTAGTTTTATGCGGGGGCATGTTCCCTTCGCATAGACACTAATAACCTTCGATCTCTCCCTTCACCCCACCCTGTGTGTCCACGATGTCAGTTCCCACCCCTAGTCTTTGCTTCGGAAACCTACTGGGAAAGTTCTCACAAAAGGGACGGGTAATCACATCAATGAGCACACACAAGAGGCCTTTGCTACCCCAACATATACACTCGTGGTTAAGGGGCGCAAACACATTAACAGGGACTGCACGCCTAAAGGGGCTTGGCAGTGCCATCCCCTCCATCCTCTGAGGCTATGTGAGCACTGACCTCACTGTCTTCTTGGCAACCGGTCGAAGACGTTTGTTTTGGCAGCATTATGACAGGGATTGCTCCCCAAGCACCACTCATGTTCCATTCACAAAAAAAAAAAAAAAACAGCACGGAGACTAGTGGATGAGTTAAACAACCAGTGTCATGCAGTTGCTAAGGAAGTGACAACATCTTACTGTTCATTCGGACAGGTTTTAGGGGCTGATGCATATAAATGTGTGTTATACGCCTAAACATGACAGAACATGCAGAACACTGGAACTAAAACATTTAAGACTGTATAATATTGAAATATAATTACCCCTTGTGTTATGACAAGAAAGAAAACTTCAGAGCATTGGGTTTGTTAACCTTAAAACACTTTCAGCAACAGTCTGAAATGTATCTCCCACTGGACTTATCACTGATGACTCATCTCCTCATATTGTGGAGTATTTATGGGTTTGAGAGCCTGTCTGCCAGACACCACTCTTTTTTGCTTTTTCACTCTCCATTTGTGGTCATCATAAAAGTTGTTTTTTAAAAATGCATTATTTCATGTAATCAGTTCTGTGCTTGCACACTTATGTGTTACCTTTCCTCCCTCTTCCCACGTTTCTATTTCTGCCCTGACCAGCTTCGCAGAGCTGCTCATTCAGACCCTGAAGGAAGCTGGCACTCAGCTTGGCATCACTCTGGCTGTGTTGGGGAGGTGGGAGTTTGAGAAGGGTGGGGGTCAGTGCCAGGACCGTCTTCACACCACAAAGAGCTTATATGAGCAGGCACCTCGACCAGCCAAAACCAGCTCTCATAAGAGGTTGGTAAAACAAACACTCCCTCTGTCCGTCTGACCCTTTCTCACCACACTGCTCAGAATCAGTTCTCAGTTGCTCTAAGGGAAACAGGCCTTTTTAATCAATATTATAACAGCTATATAGCGGTCATTTTCATTTCTCAAGCAATAACAAATGACTATGAATCGGGTATGATTAGGACTTGTTGGATAACAAAATGTACACAGTAATTGACACAGGTGTTACTAATAACATTAACTATGTCTCGGTTCTATTCAAGTGTCCCAATAAGCTGTGACAGTGTGCCAGCATGCAATATGCCGGGACCCTGAAACTGAAAACAGCCTCAATTAAATTCAAATATCATTAATTTTTTTATGCATACCTGGCTTTTCTTACTCCACGATATATCAAAATGTTCCTCAGTTACA